GCATGTGCTACACATTTATGACCGCCCTCCAGTCTGCACTCACGCATCCCACAACCCTCACGCCCAATCCCACATTGCCCTCCCCCCCCCCCGCTCTTGCAGCGCGCCACTGGTGCCCCCGGCGCGAGCGAGTGGAGTGAGCCTGCCTCCATCGCCATCCCATGGGTGGGTGCGCAAATATGCGCTGTCGTGCGTGTACATGTTTTGTGTGTATGTGTGCAAGTGTGCATGTGCGCATGTGTGCAAGTGTGCATGTGCGCATGTGTGCATTTATGCATGTGTGCATGTGTGTGTGCCCCTGCATCTGTGTATCAGGGTTTAAGCGTGACCTCAACTGTCTCATGATGATTTTGGGCGTCTTTCACGCTCCTATATGCATTCACGTACATACACACCTTACCCATCCTGTTTTCACGTCCCTGCCGTGCGTGTTACATCTGCCCCTCGCATCGCCACTGCTTCCGTCAGGCGGTTGCGCCCGTGCCTGCCTCGTCGTCATCGTCGTCCTCAACACCAACGGGCGTCATCATTGGCGCCGTCCTGGCCACAGTCGCCATCACCGCCATCATCGTCATCGTTGCCGGTCGGTTCATGCGCTCCTGTGTGTGTGTGTGTGTGTGTGTGTGTGTGTGTGTGTGTGTGTGTGTGTGTGTGTGTGTGTGTGTGTGTGTGTGTGTGTGTGTGTGTGTGTGTGTGTACATGTGTGTGTGTGCGCGTATTTATGTGCAATTTCTGCGCGCATTCATGGAGTCACCTGTATATTCGTTTACGCTGTTTTGCACTCGATTTTCTTGTGTGACGCCCATGATACGCGCCACCTTACACCTCCCACCACCACCACCACCATCACCATCACCATCACACCATCATGATACAACGCCACCCCGCCCCCGCCCCCATCTCACTCCCCTCTATGTGCAGTGTACACGCTGCTGCGCCGGCGCCGCGCATCCGCCATGTTCGCGTCTGCGTTTGCGTTTGAGTTTCCACTGGCGGACAAGTGGGAGGTGTCACGATCGAATGTGACACTCGGCGATGAGATTGGGCGGGGCGCGTTTGGCACCGTGTACAAGGGGGAGGGGCGACATCTCACGCCGCAGCAGGGGGACGCGCCTATCGAGTAAGCCGCAGCGTGGAGCTGGATTTTGTCGTGTTGCAACTCGTGTTCACCTCCATCACGAACACACACGCGAGCATGCACTGACTGACTGACTGTCTGTCTGTCTGGCTGACTTCCTCACTCACACACACACACACACACACACACACACACACACACACACACACACACACACACACACACACACACACACACACACACACACCTTCACCACCCCTGCCACCGCCGCTGCGCAGCGTCGCCGTGAAGGTTTGCCGGCGGGACGTGAGCGGGACGGAGGAACTGTCGACGTTTCTCCGTGAAATGGAACTCATGAAGAAGTTCACAACCCCGCCCCATCCAAACGTACGTGTATCTGTTGTCTTTGTGTTGCTAACACACACGCACACACATACACAATACGAACACGCTCACACGCGCACGCAAACACACATCCACCCACACTTACACCATCTCGCTTTCTCTTCCCCATTCCCCCCCCCCCATCCACCCCATTCGTGTCGACGGCAGGTGATCCGGCTGCTCGGCGTGGTGTCTCAGTCGTTCCCGCTGCTGATTGTGACGGAATTTGTTGAATACGGCGACCTGAAGCAGTTTCTCGTGCAGTGCAGACCAAGCGGCTCCAACCAGTACGCTGCTCTCTCTCTGTCTCTCTCTCTCTGTCTCTCTCTCTGTCTCTCTCTCTCTCTATCTCTCTGTCTCTCTCTGTCTCTCTGTCTCTCTGTCTCTCTCTCTGTCTCTCTATCTCTCTCTCTTGCACTTGTTGCTGATGCGTGCTTGGTGGCACAGTCAGCACACACCACCACAATGACAGTCGCACACACAGACACGTATCCACACACACACACACACACTCTCTCTCTCTCTCTCACATACACGCACCTCCCCGCCCCCACTCACACGTGCACATACACACACCTTGTCTCGCCCTTTCCCCATTCCCTCACCACTGCTGTTGCTCTTCCATCACCAGGACGAAGCACGTGCTGTACAAGAAGGACCTGCTGAGGATGAGTGCTGACATCGCTGCTGGCATGAGCCACCTCGCCAGCAAACATTTTGTGCACCGTGACCTGAGTGCGCGCAACTGCCTCGTGTCCAAGGACCTGGTGGTGCGAATTGCCGACTTTGGCCTCTCCAAGAACGTGGAGCTCACCAACGGATACTGTGCGTTGAAGTCGCGGGAGGGGCAGAGGCTAGGGGAAAGAATATAGAGAGGGGAAGAGGAGAGAAGTGGTGGAAGGGAAGCGCAGGGCAGCGCAGGCAGATGATAGGGGGTGTCGGTGATGGTTGCGTGGAATGGTTCCTATGATGGACACATGCCCTGCACTCGTGCGTACCATGTCATGCGTGATAGCACCGTACTCCTGCAATCACCTTCCAATCAACATCACCTGGCCCATGCTCACACCACCCACGAACTCACAACCACTGCCCCACCTTGGTTTACTCGTGTCACACCACTCACCTTTCCCGCCTACCTCCCTATCACCATCACCATCACCATCACCCAACTCCAACCCGCCCCCCTCTCAATCACCATCACCGCATCTGCCATGTTGTCGCTGCATGTTAGACCGCAATGAGAATGAGGCGTCCCTGCCCGTGCGCTGGCTCGCACCGGAGTGTCTGCTCGATGGCATGTTTTCCACCGACGGCGATGTGTGGGCATACGGCATCACCCTGTGGGAGGTGTGGACTCTGGGCAACCTCCCATACCCGGGCCTGTCCAACTCGGAGGTTGCCAACAAGGTGATTCGCGGGTACAGGCTTAGCCAGCCGCCCGGGTGCCCCGATGGCGTGTATGCGCTCATGAAGAAGTGTTGGTCCGACGCGCGGCCCACGTTTGGTGCGCTGGCGAAAGCGACGCGGGACCTGGTGGACTGCATCACCGCGCACCCCGATCACGCCGCCCTCCGCTCGTCCTCCGCCAGTCGCCGCTCCCCTTCTCCGCTCGTTCGCCTCGACTCGGCACTGACACCAGCGGTGGCAGCGACCAGCGCCACAACACAACCCGCGACGGGGCCAACAGCCTTGTCCAGTGCAGCGTCTGCATCGTCGGCGACGCTGGCGGCCGGGACGACGGCGGTGGCTGCGGCGCTCATGTCCACATCAGAGCTTGGTGCTCGTCCGGGCACCGTCACGGGCACGGCGCGTCTTGCTGTGCCTGTCCCCGCTGTTCGGCAGTTGAAGCAGGGCCAGCGGCGGCGTCGCTCGCGTGCCATATCCGCACCAGAACGCATGACCGCGGAGACGCGCCTGGACGCTACGGCCAGGCTCCTTGGCAGCAGCAGCAGTGGCGTTGGTGGTGGCGTGCTTGCAGGCAGCCCGCGCGCCATGAGGCAGTCGAGGCAAGGGGGCGTGCCCGAGAACTCATCGCCGACAGCGACGACAACAACGAACACGAGTGCAGCGTCGAGCATGGCCGACTTGATGGGCGATGGAACACCCACGAACACGACGCCGCTTCCAAACCAAATCATCTCTGATGGCGATGGCTGTGATTTGTTCGACGCTGATGATGGCCATGGTTGCTACCATTGTGTTGTTCACGATGACGACGACGACGACGACGACGATGATGATGATGATGGTGGTGGTGGTGGTGGTGGTTGCGGTGAAATAATCATCCGGGCGCCCAGCACAGACATCTCGACCGTGTCGCCGTCGCCGTCACAGGGCCGGTTTGCAGGGTACACGCGCCTATCGCGCCACCAGTCGACCAGTGCTGACGGCAGGAAGGTTGTCTCGTTTGTGGAGAGCCAACCGCCGTTCCACGCCACTCCGCCACCATCATCCCTGTCCCTGGCACGTGGGATGGCAGGCGTACGTCCCAGCAGCAGCAGCGGTGTTCGAGGAGAAGGAGAAGCCATGACGCCACACCACCACCATCACCGCATGCGTCCCCGCCACCACACGGGCCCTCCCTCCGTTTCGCCAGCGACACATCATGGCAGCCAAGGAGCAAGTGCAGCAACAACAACAACAACAACAACAACTACAACTACAACTACAACAACAACTACAACAACAACAACAACAACAACAACAACAACAACAACAACAACAACAACAACAGTACATGTCGCTTACACCCGCGAGTCGTCGTGGCCGTGGTCGTGGTCGCAGTCGTGGGCGTGGCCACTCCGACAGCACCAACGGCCGTGGTGATGGCGGTGACGTTGGTGTGGCTGACCAGCGGGTGCATGTTGGCAGCCGCGCACACAGCCGCGTGGTGCCCCTTCAGTCAGAGTCGTTCACAAGCCATGCTTCGAGTACGACAAGCGATGGTGTTGCTGTTGGTGTTGGCACTACGGCACTTGCACGCATTCACGGTGCTCCACAGCACAGTGAAGCGTTGACTCTGGCTGTTGATCACATGCCTGTCGTCGGGGTGACTGGCGACGCGGCTAATGATAGTGGCGACGGTGCTGATGGTGGTGGTGGAGACGATGATTCTTCGCCGTTAATATTGGAGGAAGTGCGTGGTAGGCGGCGGTCGAGCGATCTCTTGGGCGCGTTTCGCTTCTGACCATCCTGCGGCTTTGATGGATGAGCGAGAACCACGTGGTCTCAGGCGAGTTACATGTGACGACAGCCACGGACCGCGAGAGTGGCTGCTGGTCGGGTATTGGTGTTTGGTGTGATGGGAATGCTATGTTGCTGCTTTGCATCGCAAGCTTGAGCGGCTGCTGTTCCGGGGTGTAGCTTGTGTCGTGTTGTGTGTGTATGTGTGTGAGTGCCAATGTTAAAAGCTTTTTCACGTTGCTGTCAGTTGTGTATTCCCCACAATGTCATGTCACAATGCTGCCAATGACTGTTGCTGCTTTAATCAACCTTAACAGCACCGCGTGGCTGGGTGTGGTAATTGACCATAAACACAAACAAACTCAAGCCCATTGGTTGGTCAGCAATGAGCACCCGACAGCTCCCAAACAAAACATTGCTAAGATCACGCACGCGTAAACAAGGTAACACACACACACACACATCGTCCCTCAAACCCATCGCTACGTTAACATGGTGTCATCATCACTGTCATCGTCATGACCATCGTGAACATTGGTGGTGTCATCATTTTCCTCAAACACGCTGCCATCGCCAGCACTGCTGTGTGTGTGTGTGTGTGCGCGCGCGAGTGTGTGTGTGTGTGTGCGCGCGCGAGTGTGTGTGTGTGTGTGCGCGAGTGTGTGTGTGTGTGCGAGTGTGTGCGTGCGTGCGTGCGTGTGTGTGCGAGTGAGTGAGTGAGTGTGTGTTTGTGTGGGTGTGTGTTTGTGTGAGTTTGTGTGAGTTTGTGTGAGTTTGTGTGGGTGTGTGTATGTGAGTGAATGTATGCCCATTCGCACAAACTGACGCATTCGCATGTTGAAAGTAATAGTTGCAGCTGAAGCATAGCACGAGCACAATACATCTGTACATCTGCACATCAGCAAACCCTGTCTCTTCTTTTTGCGACTCACTCGTCCGCCATTGGCCCCTCCCAGACGGGGTTGTTGATGGTGAGCGATTGTCTGTTGCGGTGCTCATGCACGTCCACATCATCGTCATCCGTCTCCAAGTATTCCGCCGCCGCCATGCGTGCATATCCACGCGTGGACCGTCGTGGGCAGAACGACCCATCAGCGCGCTTCGACACTGCAAACCACGTGTCGCAAGCAACGGAGTTGTTCGTGGTTGGTGGATGGAGGTGAAGACAGCTGGTATCAGCTGGCTGGTGCACGAGCATCACCACAGCACACACTTATATGCGCATGCACACACACGCACGTGTACGCACGCACACGCACGCACACACACACACATCTCAACGCACACACGCACATGTACACACATCTCAACACACACACAATGCACACGTGCACTGGACTCACAGTATGCGATGATAGCGAGAACGACGATGATGGTTCCGATAATCACGGCGGCCATCACGCCTCCGCGCTGTGCTCTGCTGAGGGCGTGGTGAGCATGTGCAGGCGTCTCTGTCGGCTCAGCCCCACTCGTCACCGGGCCTGTCGCTGTCGCGGATGTAGGTGGTGCTGATGCGGTCGAATGCAAGTGGTGCGTGGTCGATGTGGTCGATGTGGTGGTGGTTGAGAAGTCACCTGCTGTTGTTGTTGGTGTGGTTTCAATGCTCGGGACGAAAGATGATGTAGTTGATCGTGTCGATCGCATGTTGCTGCTGCTGCTTGAAGTAGCCGTGGTGGTGGTGGCGGTCGTCGTCGTCGTTTGGTGTTGAGTGGTCGTTGCCGCAGCCATTTCACACTTGTTCGTCGTTGGGTTTCGTCTCGTTCCCTGCAGGCACACATCGCCCTCTGTGACGCTTTGAATCGCCAGTGTCTCCGCCCCAAACGAGAGCGTTCGCAACTCCGACAGCCTGCGGGAATGTGTGTGTGTGTGTGTGTGTGTGTGTGTGTGTGCGTGTGTGTGCGTGTGTGTGCGTGTGTGTGTGTGTGTATGTGTGTGAAGGGGTGCGCGGCAGGAGACGAGTTGCGACAACAACAGCACACACATACACATGTACACAACGCACAAGCGCGTGCAGAACACACACAAGCTACTCGCACACACACACACACACACAGTAAACGACTGACTTGTTGACGATGAGCGTGGAGGAAGGGAGATCTGCTGATTGCAACGTGACATGAACCGAAACACCAGCACCGCGTGCTTGCACAATGTACACGCTCGACACGTCGTCATTCGAAACGCCAACGCCACGCAATGCGGTGGACACACGGTCCAGCACATCCAATGTGAAGTCTTCGCCACTGCTCAACAGTGTTGAAATGTGCCTGTCCGAATACTCCCCCGCGCCGATTCTGCATACGCGCGCACGTGTGTGTGTGTGTGTATGTGTGTGTGTGTGTGTTTGTGTGTTGTGAATGTGTTTGGAGGGTTAGATCCGGTGAGAGGAGAGACTGCAGTCGTGATGCAATACGAGAGCACAAAACAAAGCAGCAAACACACAAACTCTCACACGCATACAAAAACACACGCATACATGGCCCCAATGACGTACACGAACGAGAGTGTTTCCAGGGCTGCACCGCCCGTGAAACGCTGGTTTGTGTTGACGGCTCCGAATGTGTTTGGGAGCGGGCGTGATGCCCACGAAAAGTCGTGGTACGACGACCCAACGCCACTGCTCGCAATTGGTGGGGGAGAAGTTGTTGGAGATATTTGGTGCTCGTTTGTCAGGGTTACGTGGGGGATGGGGTGACACACAACATACAAAGTACGCACGCATGCACACATACACACACACAAAAAAGCTACGCACACACGCACACACTCGCACACTCGCACACTCACACACTCACACACTCACACACTCACACACTCACACACTCACACACTCACACACTCACACACTCACACACTCACACACTCACACACTCACACACTCAAACATGGATGGCGGCAGACGATCACTTGGCATTCACGTGCTTCGTGCACGAGTGGACGTACGTGAGCTGAAGCGAGTAACCGCGCGGTGTGCCGCTCCTCTCCTGAACGCCAATGTCTTCACTCTTCATCCCCTTTGCGGGGCCCTCGCTCGCAACGAAGCTGCCCTCGTAGCTCAGGAACTGCAGAACCTACTCACGCGCGAGGGCGTGTGTGAGAATGCGTGTGCACAAAAGTGTGACGGTGAGCATGTGTGCGTCATATCATGTAGCGTGCATGCATGTGTGTGTGTGTTATGTACTCTGCGCGCGTGTGTGTGTGTGTGTGTGTTATGTAAGCTGTGTGTGTGTGTGTTATGTAAGCTGTGTGCGTGTGTGTGTGTGTGTGTGTGTGCGTGTGTGTATGCGTGCGTGTGTGTATGTATGTATGTATGTGTGTGCGTGTAATGCGGTTGACATCCTGCAAGACTGCGTCATCATTGCTGTGTCATCCTCACCTGATTGGTGTCGTCGATAAGCGCAAAGCCGTCGGCGTAGCTCCCGCCATTCTGCAACGTGTCTGCAATTACACGTCACCACGCATATATTCATGAGTATATCACCTGTGCACACACACACATATACTCACATACTCACATACTCACGAACACGTCGACATGAACGGCGTGGAGGGAGTGCTGTGTGTCACGTACTCGAGGGAAAGGAGACCTTCACCACGCCCATGCCGCCCTGCATCTCAGGAATCACAGCCTTTCCCACCATGACACTGCAAGCATCGCGTTATCCAGCGCAACGGGCACGCGTGAGAACAACAGCAGGCAGTGGCCATGTACGCCACTCTTGTGCATGTGTTTCATGACAAGTGCAATCAAAGAGCAAAGAGGACACAAAAGCACACCAATGCAAACGGAGAACACCAACCTCCACACCACCACATCACGCAAAATCGCGCGCACACATGCATACATGCAGACACAAGTAGGCAGCACTAACTTCTTGACGTGCACGGCTCCACTTGAGGTTCCGCTGTAGACGGCAACAGTCCATCCGGCAAGCGAGAGACCTGCTGGTCCCGCAATCTCAATTGCTTCGCCCGCGTCCTCACCAGCGTTGTCGTAGTGCAGCTCATTCACAAACACAGACTGACAATCGGCGAGAGGGGTGCGTGGTGGGCACATGTGGTGGGATTGAGGTGATGCATGCAAACATGGTGGCATGCATCGACACACACATGCACATGCACACACATGCACAAATGTGAACACACATACACAAACGGACACACACATGCACACGTACACACACACACACACACATGCACAAACGCACCACGCGCTTTGGTGGCTCCTTGCAGTGCTCGCCTGTGAACCCGTCGGTGCACGTGCACGCGCCCGTGACATGATGACACGTGCCATGGCCGTTGCAGTCGCATTTTTCATCACAGTCCTCACCGAACGTCCCAGGGGCACACGGGTCGGCGCACTTGGATTGCGAGGTGTAGCCGGGTGGGCAGTCACACTCGCCCGTGATTGCATCACAGACAGCATCGCGCTTGCACCCGCAGTGCTGCTGGCAGTTCTTGCCGTACATGCCACGAGCACACTCTTCAACACAGTAGGGCAGGGACCAGCCTGTTCGCATCACGATGTCAAAAGTCGTACGGGCATTTCAGGAGGGTGCGGTGGTGGCTGTGAGGTTGGGATGGACGAGTGCTGAATGACCACATGACAAGTAAGGAGACACAGACAGGCACACAGAACGCTGGAAAGGGGAGGAATAAGGTGCTTGGGTGTGTGTTATGTGTCGTGTGCGTTGTGCGTATGTATAACTCTGTGTATGTATGTATGTATGAAAATGTGTGTGTGAGAAATGCATATGATGCGCGTACCTGCTGCGCATTTGCATTGGGTGTCGCTTTCTGTGCACTTCCAGTCTGGATCTGCATTAATGCAAAGACTGCACGAGAATTTGCCGCCGCTGCTGTCAGGCGTGTTGCAGTCAGGACCCGTCCACCCGGGAGCACAGCTGCAGGCGCATGGGAATGGGAACGTGAGCGTGAGAGAGAAAGAGGGTGTGTGTGTGTGTGTGTGTGTGTGTGTGTGTGTGTGTGTGTGTGTGTGTGTGTGTGTGTGTGTGTGTGTGTGTGTGTGTGTGTGTGTGTGTGTGTGTGTGTGTGTGTGTGTGTGTGTGTTGTGTGCTTGTGTGTGCAAGAGCAAGAGCTCATTATGCGCAGGAGCTCCAACTTGCTTCCACCTTCCCATTCCTCTCCCAACGCACACACACACACACACACACAGGTCCCATCCGCCTCTCTCCACGGCACTCGTTCGTACATGCATTCGCCTGTGACAGGGTTGCAGTCTGCTCCGTGCTTGCAAGCACACGTTCCAAGACAATTGCGGCCATATGTTCCCTCTGCACACGTGCGCTCACACCTGTGCCCTTCAAACCCGGGTGGGCACGTGCATTCGAA